GGCGAATTATTATTTGTAGGTGGAGATTAGCCATTGGAATAGTTTGGCATTAAAAAATGTCCCAAAAAATTAAAAGGACTGGCGCAACAACGAAATTTCCGTTTTGAAGGCGGAAGTGGGCGGGGAAAAATTTTGACTTAAACTTGATTTGCACGGATACCATGCGAGTCCAAGTTCTAAATCGGATTGTTCTACATATGTATCTCGTATTGTCTCTAAGATCCACGCGTTCATAGGGGGAGACGGGCTTGTCTATATCGACTCGGCTGTTGATGCTGATCAAGAATATACATATGTACATACAGGGTGACAATAAATAACCCGGACAAACTTTGAAGCAATCTATTATAAATGTATTATGATGCAGACCTTAAAAAAATGCATTTATCGATAGCTTGTACTTTTCTAAAACAAATATATTTACATTTTTGTGATTCCCATCAATTTGATATTTGTTTCGGGATGTCTAAAAATCGTTGTGAAATTTTAAAACTGTTTCAACAAGGAAATCGCCAATGCGACATTGTTCGTTTGCTTGGAATACCAAAACAAACGGTCTCTGACGCTATCCGGCGATTTAATGAGCTTGGCCATGAAGGTGACCGTCCCGGACGAGGCAGACCATGTACCGCTAACACTTCCAGAATTCGCCAGATAGTATAGACGCGGATCACTCGGAATTGCAGAGTCTCGGTCAGAAAAATAGCCCGTAAAATCGGAGTGAATCGAGAAAGTGTTCGGTAGATAGCAAAAAATTAACTTAATCTCCAGCCCTACAAGCTCCAAAAAATGCATCTTCTTACGAATGACAATAAGCGCGTGAGACTCCAAAGATGCCGTCAGCTAAGGCGTCGGGCCGCAGGTAAAAAATGGGAGCGTATTCTTTTCACGGACGAAAAGATATTCACCATCCAAAAGGCGCACAATCACCAAAATGACAGAAGCTGGTCTGCTAAAGCTCCAGGTACCTCTGCAATAATCGAGCGCCGTCAATTTGAGCAGTCTTTAATAGTTTGGGGAGGAATATGCGCCACTGGCAAAACACCCCTTGTTTTCATCGATCAAGGGGTCAAAATCAATCAGGAAGTGTACCGCCGGGACGTTTTGGAAACTGTTGTGCTTCCTTGGGGCCAGCAGCACTTCGGTGATACGGAGTGGACGTTTCAACAGGATTCAGCGTCAGCCCATAGAGCCAAATTGACTCAGGACTGGTGCAAAGCCAATTTCCCGGACTTTATCACATGCAGTGAACGGTCACCTTACTCGCCAGATCTTAATCCGATGGACTATAGTGTGTGGTCTATTTTGGAGTCCAGGGCATGTGCTTAATGCCACATAAGTTTGGAGGCGCTGAAGCAATCATTGCTCCGAGAATGGGATCGATTATCGGAAGAACCTCCTGCGGCCCATTGCGCTAAATTTCCAGAAACTACGAAAGCCACTACGAAACCAGCAGAATATATGTTAACACAATACCTATTTAATAGTTGTGTATCTGCATTTTTTCTCAAATACAGTTCCTTAAAAAGTTATGATCAAAAATGTTTGTCCGGGTTATTTATTGTCACCCTGTATATACCTCAAGGGGTCGGAGATGTATCCTTCTCTATGTTACACACATTCACGCGAATACAATGTACTCTTTTACTCTCCGAGTCACGGGTATAAAATGGCAAAATGGTTCAAATAAGCTTTGAACCACTGTATATAATGTCTATAATGTCTATGTATGTTTAAATAATTTAATTTTTTTGTCGCGCCTAATTGCATTTTTTTTACCTCAAAGTAACTTTTGTGGGATAACAGATATTATACTGTAATGCAGCTTCACTTTCTTGTTGGAAAAAAATATGTAGTCTCTTTATGGCAAAATACATCAGCGTCAATGTGAAAAAGAAAATAAGTCGACCAGCCCAATATTTTAAAGCTAAATACTTACATCTGCTCAGTGAAAATGTGTTTCCAAGTAATCCTATTACTTACATAAATACCACTAAACGGAAAGGGTCCGGTAAAACTGAGGAGGGAAAATCACCATGGAGGTGCAGAACCCATATATGACCAACTTCTCTGAAGCTTTCTATGAGAGCTCGTGAATTTTCGCACTTTAGTAGGTAGACCAGGGGAATGTGGCAGCTACGCACGACTTCTTTGTTGTCACCTGTTCTGTGCTCTTTGTAGTACCATTATTGTAAAACATTACTTTATTTGCTGCAACTTAAGATTTAAACACGTCTCGCTAAATTTCCTCTTTTCAGTTATTTAAACTAATTGAATTAGACTCGTTTCATTTGTGCAGTAGGCAGGGAACGGTAACCTTACCGTACTACTGCGAACATTTACTTATCGCAAAAAATGTCTTATCATGAGCGCTTGTTTATAAGCCGTATATAAATAGGTTTGTTTTGACAAAAAAAAAAAAACAATTTAAATTTGTATTAGTGTATCCATTGAACTTTCTGTTTCTTTTTTCTGGAAAATAAATTAAAAACTTAAAATTTGGTGTTTAGTTTAGATTAGGAATTTGATCTAACTATTAAATATATAAACAGTTTTTGTTGAAATGTTTCTCAAAACATAAAGTACCATTTCAAACACTTCCATTGAAAAAACAACTCTATGTGCCTCGGTATACAAATTTTGTTTTTTGAGAAACTAAATAACAAGTGTGAATTTGTGGGAATTAATTTTTTAGTGCCAAAACTTTTTAAAAACTTTTTATTTTTGTTTTGACTCCCAAGTCTTCTATCTTAAAAAATACCAAAGTTGTATTTTTACCAAATACCATTTCCGATCATTCAGTTAAATTGCATCTATAAGATAAAGTCAACCGATCCTTATGAAATTTGGTATATACGTCGTATCGTTTTTCCAAAAATAGATTCCATAGGAAATCGCACCTATCTTTAAAAACACCAAAGCATTTCCGATTGCAGCTTAGGATATATTCGGCCGATCCCGGCCGTTCCGACTTATTTACTGCGTGCAAAGAAAAGAAGGGTGTGAGCAAAGTTTGAGATCGGTACCATTTAAACTGAGTAGAAACAGTAGTTTTTCGTGAAGAAACAGGCAGACAGACGTTCAGACTAACAGATGGACGGACAGACGGTCATGCTTATATCAACTCAGTAGGCGATTCTGATCAACAATATATAAAATTTATAGGGTCTCTTTATAGGGACTTTATAAGGAGAGCTCTCCTTCACTACGTTGCAAATTATAATACCCTCTTCATGTATAACACTTTTACCAAATATCCTTTTATGAAACTTAGAATGGGTCTAGCATACTAAAAACTGAGTTCTAAGCAATTTATTTCCTTTTCCCCCAAATACTTTCGGTGCACTTTATTACTTTGCCAGACGTTGTTTTACCAGAGCACATCGATTTTAAATGGGACTTAGATTTGGAATCCAAGCTGCATAGCTGAAAGCTTTAATTGGCTTTTGAATTTTTCACGGTTATAGCCATATGCTTGGGGTCTCAGTCTTGTTGAAAAAGCATTTCTTTTAGAAGGTAAGCAATGTTGTGCGAAATCGTTCACTAAAATATCTAAATATTGTTTGTTCTATGAGAAAAATTATTAGGATTATTAGGATCACAAGTCCTTGACAGTAGAGGACTGCAAAAGAGAAAATGGTTAGACGATACCAAAATAAACCGCTTTCAGTCCGGTTGTAAGTACTGGCACCCATATGAAAAATAAGAAAAAAAATCCAGTTAGGAAACCATGAAGCATGGGGAAGGAGGCTTTATGCTATGGATCTGCATTACGTGACGGTTCAAAATAGTTGGTTCATAATTTTAATAATAATTGGTTCATAAATTACATAAATATGATTCGAATGAAGTGAAAATTTTGTTATTGTAACATATTCTGACTTCAAAACCATTAGTTGTTTTTAAATTCGAATTTTCTCATTTCTGGAAACTTTTTAAACGGAATAGGTACCAAGATTAATAATATTTATCATTAATAGACAAACCCACAGGGTCCTTAATAGGTAGGTTAGTACAAGTTTTTTTTTTTAATTGAGTACATGAACCTCCCCCTTGTGTTTTTGCCTCCAAAGGCAATTTAGGTAATTTTTATTTCGAGCGGCAAAATCAAGAAGTAATTTTTTTCGCATTTATGCTATATTGCAAAAACCCCCAATAAAAAACACCTTCCCCAAAAGTAAAAAACAAGAAAATGAGGCAGAAACTTTATGTCAGCAGTCGTAGCCCCAATGTACACAAATGTACGTTAAATACACATGTATGTATGACATACATACATAAATAGACATCGCCGAAGTAGGGGAAGAAAATACAAAACAGCAAACGCTGTTTATTTAAAAAAAAAAATACTTAAAAATTTTACTCATGGCCTTTTTCTCTTAAGTCTTTGATCACCTCGAGAAGATAAATATTAATACATAATTAATAATATTAATATTAAATACAAGTAAAAGGCTTGAGAAGGGATTTTATAGAAGCGACTAATCGTAATTTCTTCAACCGTTTGGGTCAGCAGGTCCAAAGGTTGAACTGATTAGGCGATGGGTGCGCTTTGGGACACAGCGGTAAGGTGTAGCGTCGTTGGGGGCTGGTTGACGACCTTCGTGGCTTCAGGCCAAAACGCACAGAAATCCGCGGGATCAAAAAGGGAAATAAGAAAAAGAATATACACAAAATACGACGGCGAGCACAATCTTAGTGTTCATGCTCCAACATTAGAAAATTCACAACAGAGCAAGAGCTTTGCGAGATACTGCGACTGCACTAACACCTAGCCGATTGAGTAAGACATGGGCTCGCACTCATACTCAATTCCGTTCGCCGGCAAAAAAATGGACAAAAATTCGCAAATGTTTTGGCTAAAAAAGCTTAGAGAGGAGCTCTCTCGCTACAGTTGCTGCTCTCCCATGACAGCGCAACGAGTAGCTCACTAACATATACATGCACAGATTCAGGGAGAGAGAATAAAAAGGAAAAAGAGGAGGAGGAGAACGAAAAGACTAAAACAGACGGCGGCGGCATCACCAAGAGTTTAGTTGAGTCTCGTTTTGGATTTCGGGTTCGGTCTCGGTCTCGGATTCGGTTTGTTATTTTTTGGCATTTTGTTCGATTTTTGGCTCGACGTCGACGACATCTAATAAAAAAGCTGTACTCGGCAGTAAGTACATGTGTGGAGAGCACCGCGCTGAGAGCCCCTGTGCAGCCATCAAAAATAATTCAAAATGTAGACTGCCAGCCGAACAAAGCCAACCCGAAATAAAACGCAAAAGTGCAGAAAAACAATCGAGAACTGAGAATAAAGTGTTGTTTAATCGCCAAAAAGTAATTTGTGTTGAAATAAAAGTGCTAACCAACGCGGCGTATACGCAACGCTTCCTTAAGAGGAGGAAGCACAAGCTGGAGAGTACAGGCACTGCTCGACCCATGTAGAACCGCCACACTTACAAAATTGTTTATCATTTAGAATTTATGTGGGAATCGAAAAGAAAAATAAAATATTTTGTGATCGTCTGCAGTCGTTTTTAAAACATTGAAAAGTGCATTCCGCATATATGTAAATCTCATTGCCGTCCGTGGCGTGGCTGTGTGTATCTGCCACTGCAGAAGCGTTGGTAGAGGTACACATCTATGCTATGCAGTCGCAATCACGAAATTCGGTTCATTTTGGAGATATCTGTGTGGCCACTTGCATCTTTGTGTGGGTGTGAGCTGCGCCAGTGTTTGCGGGTCGTTGCAATCCGCTATTTCGGCCTCTCATAGCTCCCTGGCTCGAAGCTTCGACGAGTCGTGCCCATTGCCTGCCGCAATCAACATTTTGAGGTTAGTGCTTTTATACCTCGCACTCTCTAGCCCTCATAAAAATTACGTTACACTTAAAAAAAATATTTTGTATCATGTATTATTTTCTATGCCCGTAAATGTGGCCCAATATTTATTTTTGTTTTAAAAACAACTTATTTATGTTCAAATGTAAGCATTTACGTATTGACAGTCTTGTAGATCTAGACACGCATAGAAATAAAAAAAATCCTCTCATTATTTTACCTGGTATAGCCAGTTTTTCTTACATTGGGTCCAGAGTCTGTTAGGGATTGCATTGCGACATTTTGCTGTGACTCTTGGGGACTTTTAATTTATTTCAGCAAAATAAATTGAAAGTCAGCAAAAACTAGGGAGGCCTAACTCTTTTTTTCATTTCATTTTTAGCGTCTACAAAATTAGAATTTCCAAAGTATCTCAGGACTATTTTCCTATGAAATAAGGAGTGAAAAATTAATTCTTACATTTTATTTACATTCAGTTATCTGTCAGTATTTTAACTTGTGTTTTAAGATTAAGTGAGAAAAACTAAAAATAATTGTAAAAATAATATTGTCCTCGTTCAATTTTTAAATTGAAAAAAACTTTATAGATTGTTTGGTTTATATTTAAGTACGAGAAAGTTATTGGAATTGTACTAAAATGTTAAATTATATCTGTATAATTTTTAAATATAAAAAAGCACCATTCGGTTAATACATAATATAAAAAACATGTACATTGTATGTATGTACATACTTTGTATCTCCATGATAATATTTTTATAAATGTACCCACCTTAAAATTATTTAGTACAATTTTTTATCTGTAAGTAGTCTTAGAAAGTTATTGCTTTCATTGTTTATGCTTTATTCCCCGTGGTTATGCAAGTTTAGTTGTCAGCAGAAGCCAATTCTAAATTTATTAACAAACCTGAATAAAAATTGTCTCGAACGGAATCTATGATGGATCTCGGCTCCTAGTAAAATAATTGTTAAAGCCTAATAAAAATTAAAATTCATTAAAAAAAAAAGGATTTACCTGGGACGGACAAAACTGATAAACGAAGAAGAAGCAATATTAATTCTATGGAGGGTTCTCATAAAATGTTACTAATGAGCAGACATGCTCATAGTAGAACGCGAAACTAAAAGCGATAGCAACAAAAAATTGCCAAAAATCATTTGCAATTTGTATTTACTTTTAGATTTTTTTTTGGGTTCTCCCTGGGGGCTACACTTTTTTTTTATATTTAGAAATGTATATATGGTCATATGAACATATGTTTGTATGGGTGTACGTCGCATGCAGGGTAGCGAGTGCGATTTTTCATGAATAGGTACATAATGGAACCCGATAAAATGTATGTAGAAATAAAATTGAATCGCCATTTTGAAATCATCAAATATTAGAATTTTTTTTTTCCACAGAGCGTAAATGATTTTTCCTTTAAAAAAAATAGAAATGAATATATGTATGTATGTACATATGTATTTATCGGAATAGTATCGCTACCTTTTAGAGATAAAGCATACGCATATGTAGTTAATTAAGGACGAAATGAAGTCTTCCTATTCCCACATGCAAAAATGTTACAAAATTATATTTTTTTTTATAAAATTTTTAATTTAAAAAAAAAATAATTTTTATTTTTAATTATAAAACTTTAAGATGAGACTCAAGATAATATGCTTAAATCTTACTTAAATTTTCTGATAAATTTGACATAAATTAAGAGGAAATAAAAGCATAAATAAAAATGTTCAATTACTTATGTATGTACATACATACATACATATATGGATGTAATGTACAGAAACAAGCATCCTTAGATATTTATTAGCAGAAACTAACTAAACAGAATACTGTAAAGTGTGTTGCTTTAATCTTTCTTATGAACAAGTTTTCAAAATCGGATTCGCACATGCAAACGAACTTATGTACATATGCATGCATTCGTCAAAAGAACATTTAACATTTTGTGGGCTTGTGAGTCACTTTTTGTCTTCTTTTTAGTTCGTGGCGCAAATTGTTTTTATTTACTCGAATCTCTCATATCTGTTCTCGCGGTAGTTTTCGCTCTCGCATTCCCTCTCAGCACTTTCTGCTGAAAAGCTTTTGAATGTATATGTATATTATTTGTACGTCAAATAAGATAGCTGCGGAAATGATGTTAGAATTTTTGGCGCTCTTTTCTTGTGTGTGCTTTCCCATTAAGCAACAAGCGAAAACAGTTTTCGCAATATTAGCGTGTGCACTTCTAATGTATCCAAAAATATTCGTAGTCTTACTGTCTTAATATGCATGGTAGTGTTTATTGTCGTCTTTATTATCTGAGTTTCACACATACATACATACATATGTATGCTGACAGGAGCGTACATGTTACGGATTTTAGTTTGGTATTTAGTACTAAGTCCCGGAGATACATATACATATGTGTATGTATACACATATATAGGATTGTCTTCGTAGTATATTCTACCTAATCAGCTTTTATAGGTTACCTTTTAATCCATTTTAAAAAAGTGTAAAGGTCAAGTATTGATGGAATATTAACAAGATGATTCCAAATGACAAATTTACATAGAATTTGAGTTTAGGGAGGGGCAGGGGCGAAACTGGATCGCCAATGACAACTTTCTCCTTTCGCGAAGCCTGAGCCACATACTTTAACTTGGATTCAGCCAACCGAAAAATGGAGTCTGTTAAGGCTGCTGATGTTTGAGTAAGAGTCCCGCTTGTAACTCCATTTAAACTTGTTTTCGTGTCCAGTATAGTACTGCTTTCCTTGTCCTTGTTAAATCCACAAAAAAGTAGGACTTTCTGACTAATGGTGTGACCGATTGCAGATATTTTATGTAAAGTGCAGTAGTATGTATGAATATTTGAAGATTTTTAGGACAACAGTCAAAAAAGTTCTTTGGTATTCCAAACTTCGTTTATTCTACTCGCTACTCGCATATGCCAATGGGGCGTATGAATAATTTTCACCAAAAAATTAAAGCGTTTAATAATTATGTGAATACGAAAACTTTTACCCTAGTTTCACAATATCCTCTGCCTACCTTAATTGTAGCTTAATTTTTGCAGTTCTTAGTTTCGAACATACAACAGTATTCAACATTTTTATTTATCTAAACTTTACAAGTTTAGTAATATTAAAAATCCTTTCTAGAAAGAATTTGTAAAAAAAAATAAAAATGTTAACTCGCGCAATTTATAATTTTTTATGGCGAGAGGGATGTTGTCAAAATTTGTACACAAATTTGATTTTTATGTGTACCATTGAATTCATCGTACCATATATCACGTTAAAAAATTAAACCCTCCTGTAAAACTTGGCCGAATTGCTGAATTCGGAATCCACATACAAATTAGCCATAAAAAAAGTTGGTTGCGCTACAAAAATACGACGATTGTGGAGGCCAAGAAGGCGTGGCAAAGTTTTGAAAAAAACACAAACTATGGGAATATTAAAAGACTGTACATGCAAAATCGTTTAGCTGTATATCTTATAGTGGCATCAAGTCTTCAAGTGCCTGGTTTAGAAACAAAAATGTTCTCAAAAAATATCAGAACAAGTATGTACATGATCATTTTGGAAAAGTATTTAGTAATAAGGCAACTATAGAATATAGTCGATCCCTCCCGACACCAAAACGAAAATTATTAAGGCTGGTTGGAAAATGTGTACCTTGTTCTTTACTATAATACTCCTAGTATATTGGGCTGAAAATTTTTCAATCACGGCGATGTTTTTAAATATTATTTATTTGACTTATTTATTCAGAGAGACGAGTCTTAGTTATATTGCTACATATACACATAGATACACATGTATGTATGTAGCTGATCGTCAACAGTAGGAGGCGACGGAGCGCGCATTGAGCGGAAAGGGTGGGCAGAGGGATGCACATATGTACATACAAATGTACATATGATGGCAGCCGACAAAACAAACACTTCGAGTTTACAGATAGTGCAACGACAACGAACGCATAAATTGCAAATACTGTCGCTCCGCCAATGGAGCGCAATAATTCACAAATAGCAATGGCAACGGTGCCGGCAATGAATGCCTCGCCTGCATTAAGCACGATAGAGACTCTGACTGCATCTTCGCGTCTGGATCTGCGCCTCCGTCGACGTCTCGCCAGCTGCCGCGTCCCTGTCCATGCCTCCGCTTCCGTCTTGCGTGCGTTCCGGACCCGTTCGCTGTTCGCGCAACGGGTTCAAGGTAGTTTAGTTCTCGTGCTCCCTCGCCTCGCGGTATCCGATTGTCGATTGATTTCCTATTCTCCAGTTCGATTCTTTTACTTTCCTTTATGGAGGGCGAAGGCCTGAGAGATCTGACAAAATCACTTACTATCAGAGATGGATTCTAAACACAAGTTAATCAATTCCTATCAAACAGGCGCATGCCTCCTTGGGCTAAAGGGGACTGGCTGAGGGGATGGGAAGATTCGAGACCTTGATCCCGCATTAAAAAGTTGGCCGGTCGTCGTCACCGCTGTGGGGCAGCAGGAGGAAAGAAAGGAAAGGAAAAAACCAAACCAAAACCGAACCGAACTGAAACAGAAACTGAAAAAAACAAAAGACAACAAGCTGAGAGGAAAGTGAGTCAAGTCAGACTGCCAAGGCCTGACAAGAAAGGAGGAAACATGTGGACATTCATTTTTTGTGGGCAGGGTGATAGGTAATGAGAGGGATGTTGCCTGCCTCCTTGGTGTCCATTTATGCGCCACACCCTCCAATAAGACGCTGATGATCTTCACTGTTTTTAATTTTAAAATCATTGAAATTTGTTTACTTTTATAGTAGTTATGTTATTTAAATAAACGTGAATTTTAATAGAATTCTGCTTTAATATTTATAGCTACACCGGAAGAAAATCATCATCCACCAGGAAGACGAAGGCAGTTTTTTTAAATAATAAAGGGTTCTTTATCCTCTCTCAGCTCAGAGGGCACACAACTTGAAAAAGTTAATTAATCATAAATAATTGAGAAACTTAAGAAGAAAGGAATTTTAAAACTAACCAGGATGAAAAACAAATTGAATTCACAGATCAATCGCATAGCAGTGGTAACATATAAGGCCTGTAGCTAAGAAGGAAAACAAAATGTGCATTAGGAACCAATAATTAAAACCCAAAATACTAAAAGAATAGCAGGAAAGCAAAAGCTTTTGCCCACGAAAGCAGGCCAACAAGAATTGGATTCTTGGACAAAAGACCAAATCTACCAGAACCTGCAAAAGAGTCATTAACCAGCAAACAGGATGGCCATCAACTTTTCGGCCTCTTTCGCGGCCTGCATAGCAGCCGGGTTAAAAGTGCCGCGACAAATCATGTACTGCATTACGCAGGACACGGGGCAGCCGTACGTCCTTTACAAGGACTCGCAGGACCCCGAGCGTAACCCAGGAGCGATTGGTGCCAGCCCCGCGCAGTGGGGCAGCGAAATGTACCCCAACATCCAGCAGCAGGCCCAACAGCATCTGAGTGCTCAGCAGCAGCAACAACAGCAACAACAGCAGCAAAACGCAGTGCAAGCGGCGGCCCAAGCAGCCGCTGCAGCAGCAGCTGGTCAGCCGCAAAGTCCGCCCGGTGGTGGCCAGGAACCACGTGAAAACGGTAGTGGCGATGGTCGCCAGCAACAAGTGTCGCCTTCCTCCAGCCCCTACCCGTCGGTGCAGCAACGAGGAAATGGTGGGGGAGAAGAAGACGCAATGAACCAGGTGAGCCTCTCTATAAACACTTTTTAGAGATTGATGTGCAATTCCTTCGGCTCTTTTTCACAGCTGGCTAATCAACAGAACTCTGCGCCCAACCAAAACCAAAGCAGCAACGATCCCCAGCACGCCGCACCCAACGCTGGGGAGACCGGAAACCCACACGTGCAGCAGAACGGGGGTGGCCCTCAAGGGGATCCTGGAAACGGATTTCAAACTGCGCCGGACTACTACGCCTCTCGCCATGCGCCTCCCCAAGGGGGAATGCTAGCCCCTCCCGGATTTCCGCCTCTTCACTATCTTAACAAAGGCGTCTTGCCCATGGAGCAGGCCGGCGGTGGCGGCGGGGGAAGCGGAGGCGGAAGCGAATCCTACTCCATGCCCGAGCTACTGCCTAGTCAACAAAACGGCCAGCAAAGCGCCGGGCCGGCAAATGCAAATGCCAATGAAGGCGCTGCAGCGGCCAACGGAGGAGGAGTAGGTGCGACCGGTGCGGGAGCCGGCGTTGGCACGGTCAGTGGCGTGGCGACTGGAGGACGGACGGGTAATGGTCCCGGGCGTCCGCATAAAAACAAGCCACACAGTGATTTACGGTTGTTCAAGTGCCTCACATGCGGCAAGGACTTTAAGCAGAAAAGCACTCTGCTGCAACACGACCGCATCCATACAGACGCACGTCCCTTTCCGTGCTCCGAATGCGGAAAACGCTTCCGCCAGCAGTCGCACCTCACGCAACACTTGAGAATCCACGCCAACGAAAAGCCCTTCACCTGCCCGTACTGTTCGCGCAGCTTCCGGCAGCGTGCCATTCTTAACCAGCACATACGCATCCATTCGGGTGAGAAGCCCTTCGCCTGCCCCGAGTGCGGCAAGCACTTTCGCCAGAAGGCCATCCTCAATCAGCATGTGCGCACCCACCAAGGCGAGCGACAGATTTAGATAACTCCTTCCTTACCGATGCAGATTCAGATTGTGTCAGGGATTATAAAGAGATAGTGCTAGAGACGACTACTATTAGGAGCAAGTCAGATGTTGCAGAGACACTGCTTGTCTAAAAATTCTTGGCAACCAATTTCCCTGCAAAATTTACTATTATATGCAATTGAGCGAAGTTTGGCCGAATATCAAAATTGTCCCTAGGCTAAGGTATTCTCCGTTTGGTTTGTTGACTCGCTTTAGCGCTGAGGCGGAAACAAAACCAGAGGACTGTTGATCACCTCTAGGAGTTTCCTCCTGAAGATACTCTGGCCAGTCAGCACCCAAGCAGAAAACGTCTCTATATTAGTGAATGAGGCTAGGTAGTTTATTTGAACGATTTGCATCCCGGCTGCGTGCCAAGTTTTAGCGCTACTAACATCACATTTTGCTTTCTTAACTTTTTTTTTTGTATGTGCGAACCCGTTATGTTGGATGATGAACAATGCGTCTTCCTACAGATGTCTCACCCCATCTCATATTCAAGAACGGGCCGCACCCCACACTGTGGCCTTCGGACGTTCCTTTTCCGGGCGAGGAGAACGACACCAAGGGGGACATCGCAGGAGGCAGCGGATATCACGACGAGGATTCGCAGGGTACACCCGATGGCAGTGGCGGCATGCATTATCCCTCATATTTCAAGGACGGCAAAGGTGAGCCGCAGCATTGCAAAAGATTTAATGAGTCTCTATCACTATTTTTTACAGGACAAAAGATACTGCCCGAGGTCCTTCAGCATATTGGAGTACGGCCTGCCAACATGCCGCTTTACGTTCGCTGCCCCATCTGTGACAAAGAGTTTAAGCAAAAGACGACCCTTTTGCAACATGGCTGCATCCACATAGAATCGCGGCCATATCCTTGCCCGGAGTGCGGAAAGCGTTTCCGACAACAATCGCATCTTACGCAGCACCTTCGCATTCACACCAATGAAAAACCATTTGGCTGCATGTACTGCCCGCGCTTCTTCCGCCAGCGAACTATTCTTAACCAGCACTTGCGCATCCATACCGGTGAAAAGCCATACAAGTGTGGCCAGTGCGGCAAGGACTTCCGTCAAAAGGCCATACTTGACCAGCACACACGCACCCACCAGGTAGTTGTAGCCTAGCCGCAGTCTTAAGCTTATGTACCGCCTAAGAGTAGAATAAAAAAAATATTCTCTTATTCATTTCCGACTTAGGGAGACCGACCATTCTGCTGCCCGATGCCTAACTGCCGGCGGCGTTTTGCCACCGAGAACGAGGTGACTAAACACATCGACAACCACATGAACCCCAATACCACAAAGGTACGCCGTCAGCAGCAACAACAGCATCAGCAGCAGCATCAGCAGCAGCAGCAGCAGCAGCAACAGCAGCAGCAGCAGCAACAGCAGCAGCAAAACAACAACAACAACAACCCTGTCGCCCAGGTTGCAGCAGTAGCCAACCATTTAATGAATGATGCAAAGAACCTAGCCGCCCAACAATTCCTCAACAACAACAACTCATCGAGTGTGGATAACAAGGCTAACATACTGCCGATGCGGAGCATAGCTGCCAACGCGGCAGCTGCCGCCGTTGTCCAACAATCGGTGGTTAAGAATGAGCTTTATTTTCCACAATGCTATGGGCCACCTTTCCAGCACCCCTTCCAAACACAACAGCAAGCGCAGCAGCCCAGCGTGGCGCACGCTAATGGGGGCCCTACGCCACCAGTAACCGTAACAGTGGCAAACTCGGTAGCTCCAGGAGTGGTGGTACAACAAAATGCGACTGCCTCAGTGGTGGCTCAGTGACATCCCACCACTTCAGCAACTGGAGGACCTCAGCAGCATCAGCAGCCGCCAGTTTCGGCGCAGCAACCACATCATCCACCCCCACCGCTGCCGGTACCACTGCCGATTCCGCCCACATCGTCCGCCCACCATGTTACGGCAGCGGGTGAAGCAGCAACACCCGCGTTGCCTACCGCCGCTCACGCCTCGCCAGTAACGGCGCCGCAGACGGTCACGCTGTCTATCACGCTACCGCCTCCGCCGAGTACCCATTCGGATCATGCGGGCCATCCAGGAATGGCAAATGGAGCTCCATCCCAACCACCTACAACTTTATCACATGCAATTCCCATACATCCACATATACACTCGATATTTGGTTCTCTATAATGTCTTTATTCATAGACAAAAGCAGGAGCGCGCACGACGAACTCAAATTGAAAAACGGACACACTATTCACAATACTTGATAGGTTTTATAAGTTTCTCTAGTATTAGACACATACAAATTCTCCTAGTTTTTAAAACTAAACTCTAATCGGATTACCACAAAACACAGTTTTGGCTACGGAAACCATCATTATGAGCGGCTTGAACGAAAACGTAAACAGGACGAGTACTAGTCTTTTTCAAAAGGACTCTAAACTCCTTTGATAAAAACCATAAACATGAAATGCGAATGGTCAATGATTAAGAGAAACAGAAAAGTGAAAAGGATGGAAAGTGAAAAAATGTAACCCCGAAGAAAATGGAGAAAGCCAAAACACAACGTTATACGATTCCTTTTTGATAACTTAGTTTAAGAATTCGGACACCTTGAAGACAAGACACACATCAAATATTTATATTGACGCAAACACCCACACACAGTAACACACGCATTGTTCGTCAATCTTGATTAGAAAGGAGTTATACGACTAGGCGTAAAGTTAGGATAGCTCAGATCTAGGGAGTATGAATATGTGAAGTGATAGATAGGGCAGCTAGAAGGTTAGGGAAGGATGACTGCAGCTGATCGGAATTAAGGTACCGCAGACATTGCGCTGAGCAATTTGATTTTCAATGACAGCAGCTAAAGTTTACTTTTGTTCTTCAGATACCTTAAAATATCGCAGTTTTTGTAGATTAAATAAGGTTGTTTGGCATAGGTCGGGCAATTAGCAAAACCGATAAGGTAACCCTGGGCTAGCAAACTCTCATTATATATCTCTTATTTGATTTAAAACGATGTGATTTTTTTTAATAATAAACCAATATTGATTGCAATTTAACGATAAAGAACTAAAAACCCTTATTATTTTGAGCTAGGGTTCTTTTACGGTCTTCCCAATCTTTGTTTTTATTTTCAGTTTTAATTTGAAATTAGAATATGTTAACCTATAATATCTCCACACAATGGCTCGCAGTCAGGCAGGCAGGCAAAAGGAGCGCTAAGCTACTTGTTTATAAATCAATAAATTAATTCGAATGTGACTCTAATAGTGCCATACAATCAAACAATAGTCAACAGTTAATAGACCAATTCACTTAATGCTTCCAAATTGAAACTACTTCATCCATCGACAGAAGAGCCCTCCTTACGCTCTTTCCCCATCCAATGTGTGGATTTACCGACAAATTTAGTCTTTTAAGGGGACCCCCCCCATTCTCGGTTTTAAAAAATCGATTTTTTTTTTTTAATTTAATTCGAACTTGTAACTATTCAAGAATGTTCCCTGAAAATTTCAAGTAACAATTTCAAAAACTCTTAAAGATATAGCCGATTTATGGTGGAAGCCTCAGGCGACGGCGAGAGCCATCTCAAAACTTTAAACGCGTTTTTCTCGAAACAGTGTTTTTACGACTGGCGCATGAGGTTACTCAAAAACTATTAATCCAATCGGTTCCAAATTTTAACACGTTGTTCTATACATATATAGCTCTCGTATGAACTAGGATAAATCGAATCGGTGAAGATCTTCCTTACTTTTCAACTCGATTTGTGGCTGAAAAAATGGAAATTTCCAAAAAAAATTTCAAAGGTCCACCATTTTGTTAATTTTTGAGCGAAGTTAATAATCCTAGTTCATACGAGAGCCAAACATGTAATTTTTCTAATCCCGTTGGAATTTTTGGATTCAGATGTTCCAGTGAGCGGAAATCACATGCGCCGCCGAAAAGAAGGGCTTTTCTTTGATCACAAAAAACAACAACAAAAACAAAACAAAAAAAAATTCTGTGAAATGATTTTCTTCCTTTTTGTGTCTTAATATATGTAAGCACAGTTACAACCCTAAAAAATAATTTATGTTCATTTGCCAGCCCATTGAAAATCGTCAAAATTTAAAATCGAGAATGGGGGGGGTCCCCTTAAATGAAATTTTCCAATGTACCGACAAAGCATTTATAATTGTTATTATTCTTATAGATTATGTTTCCAAAACATCTACATGCATACGTTGTGTGTGTCCCAATATTAAATTCTACATAATTATGTGTGCATCTGCGCATCTCTCGACAAATGTTACTTACATATGTGTCCTACGCAGAGACAAAAAGCGAATAAAAGCATACACTAGTTTTAGTTTAGCCGTTCCCTTTAAAATTATCTACTCATTATTTAATACTTGCATAGCCATGTAGCGAATAATTAAGTTTTCATTAAAATGAAAACAATAAGTATGTTTTCTATTTTTGAAGCCTCAAGATTATTGATTATTATCTTTATTTAATTCTTTCAATAAAAAAATTATATATGATTTGATTTTGTGTTTATTCTAATTTTAAATTCGTTTATTCCCTAACATAAGTTTTCACAAATCCAATTACACGTATTACATGAGCTGACTTAAATCATTTTTGGCATTATACGTACAAACATATATACATGAATAGCGATTTTTTGGACTAAGGCAGGCGTCAGGATTTTGTGATACCAATGGGGCTCAGTTATGACAAAAATACGTTTCGGAACAAATAAATTGTACATAGAATATTTCGGATAAAAAAATTATATATAAATCTAACCGTAATGGTTTATTACACGTTTGGAATAAAAATTGTTTGGCAATACAAAGTACTTATTGACACCTAACGGTAAAGCTAGTCAAAATTTTAAAACATCTTTTAGGCACATTAAACAAAATAAATCAAAATTGGAATTTGAATGCGGAAAATGAATTTGAACTAAATTGAATATTTTGAAATATAGGCAACCAAAACAAATTAATTATGGCACCCAATAAGACGGCTTTTATTGGAATTAGACCAAATGGGATTTGATCGGAATGATCAGCATGATTTGCTATAAGTAACATGATCCTTATCACTAAGCTATAGCTAACTTTTAGGCCTTCTTAGACGAAATTTTGATAATTCTTTCAGCTTCAAGCAAAATTGAAAATCCAAATTAACCAACGACGAACGCACACACGAACCTTTTGGCTTTAAATCAAAATTATTTGTAGTTTTAGTTGAAGAAACTAAAAGGAATTTTTATGGGAAAATTAAGAAAATTATAGCAAATTATGCTAAAATTCCAATAAAAGCAAAATTTAGACTGAATGTCGCTGTGATAAAAGCAAATTAAGAACAAAACGTAAAACTTTTGTACATTTTAGGCATAAACACAAAATTAAAAGAATACACTTAACCAAAAACAAAATCATAAATTTAGGCGCAACAAAATCTAGCATTAAAACCAAAATTACCATTTTCAAGCTCCATAAACATTTTGCAAATTAACAAGTTTGCATATGTTTTCCTAAAGGACCATCCTAATACTACATTCTATATCCTGAGCTATCCTGTCTTGGACTGATACATGTTAGTCATAGGAAAGGATCAGCTAAACGATATATAATGACTTTGTGGTATATGGGTAGCTCTTTATATATTTTTTATTACATTTTCACTTTGTAAATTATCATTTAAATATTTCTTATATAAGTTTTATCAGTTTTTGAACCGATTGATTTCGAGTTGCTAAGGAAATTGAATAGCAAAATAAGTTCCAAAAAAACTAAGAGAAAATTAAAAAACAGCTGCTTAAGTGAGATCCACATAGCTAGTATGGAGAAGCACACCGGCCACGACAAAAAATATATGTACAATCGATATGCGAAGACCAAACCTGTAAGCCATTCCAGAAAGATGACATAAAGCCTAGGCAAGCAAAGGGGCTACTTAAAAATCGAGACAAATGATTCATGGGGATATATACATAATGGTATAACACCGCAGAAAACAGAACGCAAACATGCTGAGGAAATAGAAAAAACAGAAAATTACAAGCATACCTAACAACCAACAATAGCCCAATTTAAACAACCAATAGTACAAATACAAGTAATTTTTATAGCAGAAATTTTAATTGCAGTATCAAAAGGCCGTAACAAGTACTCATAAGAAATAATTAACTTTAAAGAACATCAAAGAAACTTACACAACCAAATATAGGCATGGATATGGAATATTTTAACTTGACACATTTCAATCGGAAAACAAATCAAACATGACAAAGACAAATTTATCTCGAAATCAAATTTTCGATGAAAACTCTCGATACACAAAAAATTAAAATCAAAAATCCAAACAATGAAAAATCCTTTCTTCTTAATGAAATTAATTCTAAATGAAAATAATCATGATTAAAATACATATTAAGAGTATAAATATAATAAATGATTACCTTCCGGCTACAATTCAGACTCAAGATATTGCTAAAACACAGATCAACCAAAAATTTATAAAAATGCCTACTACACATACAAACAATAACAATGCAGAAACGGAAAAGGATTGCTGGTTGGAGGCAGAGAGTAAAGGGGATAAAACTTCCAATCCGTTATCCTTCGAAACGAACGCATTGTAATAAAGTACAGCCGCTTTCTGCAATAGTGATAATAGTTTTTAAGTCAACCACCAAGCAACCATCAAGAAACAAATAATTGAAGAAAATCACCAAACGAAAGGAATAATAATTAAATCAATAGATAAATATGCAATGATACGGAAATGATAAAAATCTACTTATGTATGAATAATATATTTTATAATATTATTTTCTTAATTCTTGGGCAATGAGAGCTCAATGAAAAACGATTATGGTTGATTTTTGTGGGTGGTACAGAATTGAATGATCAATGATCACGAATATTAAATAAAACTATCAAACGGTAAAATACTTTTTCGAATAACAAACTAAAGTTCTGTCACCCTTAATCTTAAAGAACCCAAGACCATTCAAAAACTAAAGAAATAAAAAAAAACATTTGAAAACAAAAGAAAGAAAAATATCAAATAGTGCATACTTATAAAAACCCAAAAATCTTATTATATGTATGTATGATGTATTATATTTTTTAAAGTATTTAAAGCATACTCTCTATGTATACAATATATCTTAAAATATTGAGGTAACCTATAAAAAAGATTTGGAAGAAGTCATCCGAAGAAAGGACGCATTACAGGCATCCATTGGATTGCCATTAAATGATTATTCCCAGATTACATACACACAAACATCAATTTTTTCCTTACAAAAAAATAAAACATATAAAAGCCAACAAGTATTTAGGGACAGTACTAAAATACTTTCATTTTCATCATCTCATATAACTTTTTGTTATACAGAGTGCCCTTAGGCTTAGAACTGGTTTACATATGAAATGATTTTATTGAATTGCTTCGAAGTTTATTTTTCTGAACAACGTGAAATAGAATACAAAATAACCCGAAATCCAAAAAAAAAGGAAATCAAATGTAAAATCCACATAGCAACATAAATAATAAAAGAAAATAAAAAAAATAGTAAAAGATAAACGCAGGAAAAGCCGAAAAAAAACAAACTAAAGCCGAAAACATAGTAACATTTACTTAACAAATATAAAGGTATATTCAACTAAGTGTTAGGCGAAGTATGCAAATGAAAACAAATATTTTTTAATGTTGTGCTCGCCTATGTGAAAAGCAGATGACTACGCGCAGAGATTATCAGATACGATGATTTACTATAAGTTCAACAACCTAGTAACCACTTTGGAGTTGGAGATTGAAATTGAGATTGAGTCGAACGCAATACGCAATAAATTTTTGTTGTTGACAATTCATTAATGGAGAGCATACGTTTGTAATTATTATAAACATTTGACAGGGACTACCATTTAATAGCAACCATAGAAATAATAACTGAACGGAGCCAATAGAAACAAATTTTATTTATGCTATCATCAGGGTGCTCCGACACACCGCGATATGCACTTTTTATTAACTATAACTGAACTCTAACTGTACATACGCAAACAAAAACTGCAACTGCAAATGCAATAGTACCAACGTAAGTAAATCAATTATTTTACACATTTTGCTAACAAGTAGCGAATGCATCAAAGATAGAACAGATAATGAACAGTAAGTGTTCAAGCGGTATAGAGAAATAATAGATATTATCGAGTTTCAAGAATCTGCTTTAAGTTACAGCTGAACGCAACATATCCACAAATAGAAGTATTAGCACTGCAATTTCAACAATTCAACTGTTTTTGACTTCCCAACAGATCGCAAATTGAAATTTATTTTTATCAGAAAGTGAGAATTGCATTGAAGACTTGACAATTTTTGGTTCGTTGAGCCACCGTTAATCAAAACCTTAAAGTCGAATCAAATATAGTCAACTAAAACAGAATCTTACAAAACAAAGCAATAGTGATACTATACTGCCAGGATCAGGACTCTCGCCTGGCCTGGACTAGCCAATAGCCTGATACACGTAAACAACAATAAACCGAATAAATCTCTTAATTTACAACATATACAAAAAACAAAGATGCAACGGATTACGGAGCAGCAGCAACCATAGTACAATAAACATGTTTTTCTTATTGAACGACTTTTATACAACAGACAGCAACCAAACCAACCCAATTGAGAAAATAACAGTTAAAGCAGTAGCAGATTATGAGAACCGAATCAAAAGTGGAATTATAAATAGAGACGATTTTAAGTATACAACAAAGCATAAATTAAGAGCAAGCAGACTATATACATATATTTTTTAAAGAGGAAAATGCATTACCAGAAACAACAGCTAAAAATTGTTAAACATTTTTATATTTAAATTTGTATAATTTCTTATCAATTCAGTGTAAGAAAAAGGTAATACGTACATATAAATATAAAAATCAAATTAAAAAAAAAAAAAAAATAAAGCAAAATACTTGAAAAAAAATTTTTTATATTACAAGAGACAAAAAAATAATCTCACTTAAAAAATAAATCTCACTTTCTTGGTAAAAATTGACTTTATTGGCCCAACAATAAGAATATTGAAAACAATAAAACTGGCTACGCAACATAATAGAATACATTCAAAATATACCTCATTTTCATTAAGTGACATCTTAGTTCAAGCATAACCTTTAATTTTCGATCTAAACCAATCCTTAGTTAGTTCTGAAGACATCTCCGAGTTTGACGCTAAACAACAAGCTTTAGACAAGCAAACAATGAAAAATAAACCTTTGCGGTTTCTTAAATTAACAATTTTGAAGGCTACTAAAATTTAAATTTCATTCCACGTATTTTAGTTTTTGCTGAACCAGTATAATGGTAAATAATACCTTACACGTATTTGGAAATAATACAATTTTCTCAAAACTCATCTGGCAACATATTTAAATAACAATCTAGATTGCAAACTTTCAACCTAAAGTATTAAAATAAAATAAGTTTTTCGATGACTAAATCTCGCTTTTGGCGAAGGCGTATATTGTTTAGATATCCAAATCTAGCGAATGGCGATTTACCAATGGCAATGAATGAATGATCTAAATACCAGGTCAAAATCTTGGAAAAACACACTCATATCCACAACCCTTCTTGGCAAAATCAAAAAGAATAAATGTTCTCGGCTATAACAACACTCTCGGTCATTCCAAAATTAAAAAAAAAACAAAAATTGAAGAAAAGGAACACTCGAATAATGGCAATCATGCTGTGGTTATTCACATTCAATTACATTATTTGGAGCAACAAAACAGAATATTTGAACTTAAATTTAGGTCAAATGCCTAAGCATCATTTTTGACATAAAATTTAAGTAATACTAAAAATAACTATTTTAGGTACTACGTATAAGAAAAATCAATTAAAACATAAAAACACTAAACCGTTAACCACTTTGAATGTGAAAATTGAAAGTTTAAGAAATAAAGCTAAAATAAAGAATTGAACTCAAAATTAACGGTCATGAAAGTAAGAAATTAAATAACTCTAAAAAGGAAAAAATTCCAAATTTTAATTGTTGTAAGCAAATTAAGAAACTACATATATACGTACATATAATCAGAAAATTTATAAAAAACTTCCAAACCACTCCAGAATTAACTTTCCAACTACACAATCACCCAGTTCCCAGTTCAAAAATACGATATTCAGACCAAAAGCACAAAACCAAACAACCAAATATTTGACCACCAAAGCAAAAACCCACTGACAACACCACACGCTTTACCCCACATACCTTCCATTGGTTTAACTTTTAAGAATCATTTTAAAAATATTCATCAGCCAAAAAGATGAAACATATTCGAAAATAGAAAAAAATACCTATTATGGCAGTCCAAAATTATGGAATTCAAAAGTAAGAAAATACGATTTTAAGGCAAGAAAATATCAAGTCAAAAGTAAAGTATTTAAGCGAGTAATCATATGCAAAAAATTGCGTCGTCTAGTTTAATGTCGTAAAATTTTACTTTTTGTAATAATTAATTAATATTTACATATATATTCTATAAAAAAGGCAAGACAAGCAAAAAATATTGTAGTCGTCTATTTCTGTACTAATTTCCAAAATGAAAACTCAACCAAGAACAAAATAGCTAAAAAGAGGATTTAAAGATAAAAAAAGGAAAAAGAAGTTACACCACAATGAATTTCTGGCATCAAAACTATAAGGACTACTTAAATTATAAAAACCATATGATTATACAAGAAAATGATTTGAAATAAATTGAATCTTGTAATATAAATTACCGACCGTATATTTTTAATTTTTCACTTCTGACTACGTACACTACATTTCAGCTCTTACGACTTAAAATTTTTTAGCAAGCCAAATCAAACTTTACCACGCCATCGTAGTCCGGGCCAAATTCAAAGATTGGCTGACGCTTCCATGGCCGGTTAAAGAAAGCAGAATAGGTTGTTTGCATGTAACTAAGCTCGGACAGAAGTTTCTCGCACTTAAAGCGCCTTAGATAGTTGTGGGTCTTGGTCAGATTCCCGAATGCCTGAAGTCGGTCAACCTCAAAAGGCTGTTGCGGGAGCCCTATCTTGCCCTGGTCTCTACAAGCGTGTAACATCTTTAGTCTAGGCAGCTCCTGGAATTCAAGGGTCATGGTTGTGGTGAAATTGCGCTTTAAAGAATCACTATCAACCAGGCTCAAATTGGTACGATTGTTTTTCATAAAATTCTGATAGGCCAGCTTGCGGTGTTCGGTGAAAAATGGCATTGTTTCGGGGGAAACGAAATCGTCTTCCGTAAATGAATCTTTGTAGAGCGATCGATGATGTTCACATCCAATCACCTGGATGCCTGGCAAGATAGCGTTGCTCTGCTCCTCCACTGCGTAGCGCCGTTCCGCCCAGTTTCCAATTAACACAGACGGACTGTACTGCGGCGAGGCCCTGCTGTCCGCCAAAGACTTTTGATTTGAGCTAATCATGACGTCCTATTTTCTGTTTAATTTTATACTAGAGTTTTAAATTTTAATAAAAATGTGTATCACAATCAAAACGAGAGTTGGATAATAAAATCCTAGCCTCCTTCGATAACCCCGATACCCCAAAAATTCGCCAAACAATCAGTACCAAGAATTTTGATTTATTTGACCGAAACTACATTAAACGTACTTTTCAAGTCTTCATGCATGTTGCAATTGAGGAAAATAAACTTGTCACGGTCCTTTTTTTTAGTAGCTTCATCAGCAAACGTCCACTCACCCACATCCTCGGTATCGTGTCTCGCCGGCTTCTTCGCAAAGTCTCCTTTGTAGCTGGTTATTCCCCGAGGGGGTCGTTCTTTGGCCAACTTGCAACGCAATTTGTTATGAACGATGCTGTAGTTTCCATAGCTATCCAGTCCGTCTAACCTAACTCGCGAGTGTTCCAACTGGCCGGATTCTTTCATCTTTGCGCTCTGTTCCTGGCGCAGTCTGGGGAACAAGTCGTACATGAGGGTGTTCATAGATGTGTAGTTGTTGAGGTACTGCTCAGCATCATAAAGCTTCAGACCTCCAGTTTGGGAGACTTTATTACCAAACATTCGGTTTCTGGTAACCAAGTGATCATGAACCGACTGGGTGTAGTCGAATGTTGTGAAGAAGGCTTGAGTGCACGACTGATGTTTTTCGCAACCCTTTTCTGCCATTAGACCGGGCAGTATTGTGCTTCCCGTATATACAGGGCCCTGGAACCGATTGTTGTATCAATTTCCAATTAACACATTGTTGCTGTACATCAGGACCTTCTCGTGCGCATATGAGCGCCGTTCGTTCTTGGAATCATCTTCAACCGGCTTCATAGTGATAAGAAATGGGTTTAATGGAACGAGATCAGTTCAAATGTCGAAAAATAATGTAGTTAAATATAAAGTCGGTTGAAATATAAATCTTAGGGTAATTCCACACAACTTTGCACTTACGCACTTTTGCGATGGGGTTAAACAACAACAATAACCAACCTACGGCCATACTACCGATTTAGCAGACTAAAGAGTCTATAACTCCTATACAAATTATCCGATTTGGTTTTTTGATTTGTTCCACAGCACGTGGTACGCTCAGATGCCATCGGAGCTACCGTTGGAGAGTCCAAAGAGTGTGAAGCTATCGACAGGGACACTAAATAAAATTAAGTGGTTAATTAGACGAAAACAACGTTGTAATTATTATTTGAAGACGATAATCTGAATTATAACAATCTTCGAGTAGTCCCTGTGAAAAGTTCTGGATTATGTGCCTCGTCCGGCAATATAACCTATTCATTACAAAAAAAAATCTAAAAAAAGCCTCAAACTTCTATCTCCAAGAACACCAAGTTGGTATCTACCAAAAACCATTTCCGATCGTTCAGTTATATGGCAGCTATAAGATATAGTCGGCCGATCTTTATGACATTGGGTCAACTAAACAAAAATAGAATCTGTAGGAAGTTCCACGAAAGTTGGGTCATTTACGATTGTTCAGTTATATGGCAGCTATACACTCAAAATAAAATTTACCCTTAAATTTAGAAATTCGCCATAAAACTTAATTGTTTCTAAATACAAGAAAAAATTTCTAGTTTCTAGAAAAAATTTTCTGAAAACAAGAAAAATTTCTTAAATCAAAGAAGTTTTTCTCAAATATAGAAATAGTCGCCATAAACTAAAATCGCCCTAAAATCAAGAAAACTTTTCTATAATTAAGGCAAATTATGACTTATTTTCAGGAAATATTTTCTTAATAATAGAAAGGCTCACCATAAAATTTACTAACCCTAAAAAATAGAAAACTGTTTCTACAATATAGAAATCCTTTTCTTAAAAAGATACTAACCCTAAAAAATAGAAAACTGTTTCTACAATATAGAAATTTGTTTCTAAAAAAGTTACTAGCCCTAAAAAATAGAAAACTGTTTCTACAATATAGAAATTTGTTTCTAAAAAAGTTACTAGCCCTAAAAAATAGAAAACTGTTTCTACAATATAGAAATCCCTTTCTAAAAATGCACGGTGTTACCCTTTAATTTAAGTAACCCTAGAAAATAGAAATATTTTGATTAATATAGAATTTTTTTTATATTTTATCTCTGTCCGTGGTCGGCACCCAATACATACATATATACATAATACAATACATACAATACATACCCAATACATGCGATATGATTTTAACGCATTAGTATTAGTATAGCAGAAAGCAGAAAGTAGGCTCTAAGCATGACGCGTCATGACGTTTCACACACTTATACTGTGTGTGTGGCAGAGCACGGGCAGATAAATGCAGACTGATCTATATTATATTTTATGTATAAAGTTTTAACATGTTAAATACAAAAAATCATGTTAAGAAATAATGTAACGATATTTAAACTATCTCTAAGATGTTGACATTACAAGTTTATTAAAAAGTTTATTTAAAAAGTGCTAATTGATTCCTTGCTGAAAAAGATAAACTGAGAAGCCTTTTCTTTTTTTTCGCTGGTAAGTTACTAAAAACGTTACTAATTTCATAAGTAATTTAATTTAATTACTAATTAAATTAATCTAGAGCTAATTGTGGAAAGACATGATAGATCTTAACATCGGAAAAAAGCCAGAAGGTCTGCTGCATATGGCAAAATTTATCATTTGAAGGCTAAGGAGAAAAAGTTATCAACTGGTAAATTACGCCCCACTTCAAAGGTTAAAAATAATTTCCCAAATACATTTTCAGGTAATATGGCTGATGTTCAATAGTGAAGAGGTGAAGCTTAGCCTTGCAAACGCAAAATTTGATCTTACTTTTGAGTGGCGCAAAAGTTTCTTTTTCTAGGACGATACAAGTGTAGCTACACTTAGCTTAGGAGGAATTGCCCATTCTTAAGCAGAGTTGTGAAGACAAATTGGTAATATTTTTTATACATTAATTTTGTTTTATTTAATGCATTTATTGAATAAATTCTTAGATTGTGGCAATTTTTTCTCTCATTTCGTTAAAAGGAAGTCCAGAGTTTTATCGTACTAAAAACATTCCCTCAACAAAGCGAAGGTAAAAAGGCAATAATTACACTACCTTAAAAGATGTTTTAAAACATTCACAATTAAATAGTATATTAATATATTTATATCGCAATATTAATTGACGTTATTTTCCACAGATAAAAAGGACGCACATGATTCACGCTATTCTAGTCCCCACCAAAAGGGGAAAACATGGTGCTACTGGAATTTTAAAAGTCAAGTATACAATTCAAGATTCGAGGGTCAAATTTATTATATACCATAAATAAAATGTTCTGTGAAAGTAAGAACTGAAGAGAGCTATTAAAGAAAACAAATGTAAATGTAAAAATAATGTAAAAATATGTAAATGTATGATGTAATATGTAATGTAAAATGTAGAAATAAAATTTCTAGAATTTAGAAAAGGTCACCTTTAATTTAAGAAATATTTGTATATATTGTAGAAAGGGTTATCTTAATTTTAGGGCGCCTTGCCCTGGGGCTTAGAAAAAATCGCCATAAAATCAAGACATTTTTTCCTTAGTTTTAGAAAAGTACTTTCTAAAACCTAGAAAAACAAACCCTAAATTTAAGAAATTTTTTTCTATTTTTTAGAAATTTTTTTCTTATTTTTAGGGAAATTGGCCTTAGATTTTAGAAAGGAAACGCCATTAATTTTAGAAAAATTTACCCTAAATTTAAGAAATTTTTTTCTATTTTTTAGAAATTTTTTTCTTATTTTTAGGGCAATTTTCCTTATATTTTAGAAAGGAAATGCCATTAATTTTAGAAAAATTTACCCTAAATTTTATGGTGCGGTGCCGTTGAAGACAAAAATAGGGCGAATTTCTAAATCTTAGGGTTAATTTTTTTTTGAGTGTAGGATATAGTCGGCCGGTCCTTATGAAATTTAACATGTCGTATTATTACGGTTAAACCTACCAAATTTCTTAAGGATTAAACCTACCTCTTGCAAATTTCCAGAACGAGCGCTTATTGATGGACTTACGTTTTCCAATAACAATTGAAAAGAAATGGGTCCGGCATTTTTTTGGCGCACCAGCTTCTCATAATTCTGATGCTCGTGTGAGTTTCTAGTTGCGGGAGGGAAACACGGTCATTGTCGAATCCGGAGGCAAACATGGCAGCATCGGCAGAGCATCCAGCATTTCAAATAGCGTGGAGTCATCTGGTTGATCTTAGGGGGGTTTTACCTTTAGTATATAATCATAATCATTTAAACTAAATTTAAAAATAAATTTACCAAAAGCTCAAATTCTTTTCCACACAACCTTTGAGGTAGAGCCGAAGGGTTTTTTCTTTAGCTGCCCAGGAGGGATATGAGGATAAATGTAACTGACATATATTTAAGACAGTTATTTTATTGTACTCATTACAAATTAATATATGTACATTTATTTAATGTACACATTATAAATTAATATACATTTATAATATGTACTACAATAAAAGAACTAAAATAATAAAACTGTACACTATTTTGCGCATCGTAGCAATTAAACCAATATAATTAAAATGTTCTAGTTTGTTTCGTTTTTGACCAGGTGCCGCAGATGGTATTGGATCGTTTTTTTCGCAAGGGCGGCTGGAAACAGGTCCCGGTACGGTCATGTCTCTGCCGAGAATGCTGGCTAATCGTAGTCGGGACGGGAGAAGAACACTTCCTTTTTCAAATTACCCCAATACAAGGAGGAACAGCAAATGCCGAAGGATGTGTGTCGGAGGAGAGGCCCGAAAGTTGATTTGCGAACTTAAGGGGACCGGCCGACCCTCCAGTTTCAATCAGGCTTGTTGTGACAAGCGGGGTGTCATGATAAACGAAACACTTCCCGCCTACTCGCGGGCCCAAAATATGAATTCAGCAAATTTAACTAAAAAGTTGTATAGTAGAAACAAAAGTGGAGATCGGAACTCTCTTAAAAAGTCCGGAACTGGGATCAATAATCCGTCTAACTCCAAGGCTCTCAAAGGCAAAAGAGTTGCTTGGATGCCGAATCTCGTCCTAAAGGGAAAACACACGGTGGCGGAACGCGTTGGTATAGGGGATGATGCT